CTTTGTTGCTCCTTCCCTTCCCCCACTTTGCAAGATTCCGAGTGATTAGAATATGAAAACGATCAGCGCCGGGGTGCAGATGTTTTAAAATCACAGCAGACAGCAATTAGCAACATGGGAACCAGCTGCTTATCTATCGAGATAAAGCTTCTTAATAGGGAATTACACTTGAGGAGCCATTTTTGCAGATGCATCGTCTAATGCTTTAAAGAGGCATTAGCTTTGATTTGTCAGCCAGTTCCCTTATCGCACAATCTGGGTGACGCATCTCAGAGAAGGTGGATTTGGGAGTTAGGGAGAACGGTGAGGAACAGGTTAGGAGCTGGTTGCCATCCTCCCTTAACAAAACAACACGTGGATTTTGCTTCCTGTCACTTCCTGAAACGTTTATTTTCATATTATGCGATAACCAGCCTTTGGTTGGTATACCTCCATAATACAGCTGGCGGTTTTGTGGAGATAAATTTTGAATGGCAGTTGATTAGACTATCTACTTAAAGCTAACGAATAGGACATACCATTCAGGCATATGAAGAATTCTTGCTAATTTTCTCATATGCTTTTTTTTTAAAGGTGATGTGGCACTTGGTAGGTTGTTTATGGGTAAATGTTTCAATTGACATCTCAACTAACAATAGTGAAATTCAAGAGCATTAGGTGTTTTGGAGCTAGCTTACCTTAGGATGGCCAGGCTGAAAACTGGAGAAGACTCATACCTTTAGCAGTGGTGTAGAAGAGGAAATTTCAAAAAGTTTTGTGTGTCACATAGCCAGATACAAAGCATCGCCTCTTGAAATCCCCTCTCCTTTATAAGCATTAAGAGCACGGAAACCTTCTTGAGTTTTCAGTCTAGTAATCAATGCTGCTATGGCCATCCTCCATCCTCCAAGACTGTGAGACTTTAACATACCCAAGGATTGTCATTGTGTGCCTTCGGGTCATTTCCAATTTCTCACAACCCTAAGATTATTTATTTATTGTATTGTCGAAGGCTTTCATAGCCGGAATCACTGGGTTGTTGTAGGTTTTATTGGGCTATATGGCCATGGTCTAGAGGCATTCTCTCCTGACGTTTCGCCTGCATCTATTTATTTATTGTATACCAAGGGTATAGTTGTAATGTATTTTTAAAAACACAAAGTTTGAAACTTGGCATCCTATTAAATGTCCCTTGACCAGTAGCTGGCGACTTGGAGTGCCTCTTGGTGTTGCTATAAGGAGGTCCTCCATTGTGCATGTGGCAGGGCTCAGACTGCATTATAATAGGTTGTTTGTGGCTTGCTCTTCTCCACACTCACATGTCGTGGACTCCACTTTGTGACCCCATTTCTTAAGGTTGGCTCTGCATCTCTTGGTCCCAGAGCACAGTCTATTCTGTGCCTTCCAAGTCGCCCAGTCTTCTGTGTGCTCAGGGGGAAGTCTCTCATCTGGTATCAGCCACTGATTAGGTTCCGGGTTTTTGCTTGCCACGTTTGGACTCTTGCTTGCTGAGGTGTTCCTGTGAGTGTCACTATAGATCTTAGAAAACTCTTGATTTAAGGTGTTGGCGTGCTGGCTGATATCCGAACAGAGGATGGGCCAGAAATGTCACTGCCTTGGTCCTTTAATTACAGGCTGCTACTTCCCAATGGATGTCAGCTGGTGCAATACCGGCTAAACAGTGCAATTTCTCCAGTGGTGTAGGGCGTAGACATCCTGTGATTATGTGGCATGTCTCATTAAGAACCACTTCCACTGTTTTAGCATGGTGAGATGTGTTCCACACTGGGTGTACATACTCAGCAGCAGAGTAGCAAAGCGCAAGGGCAGATGTCTTCACTGTGTGTGGTTGTGATCCCCAGGTTATGCCAGTCAGCTTTCATATGATATTGTTTCTAGCACACACTTTTTGCGCAATACTCAAGCAGTGCTTCTCATAGATAAGAGCACAATTCAGGGTAGCTCCCAGGTATTTGAGTGTGCTACAATGCTCCAATGGGATTCCATCACAGGTAATTATCAGAACTTGAGATGTTTGTCTGTTCTTAAGATGGAAAGCACATGTCTGTGTTTTTGGTGGATTAAGAATCAGCTAGTTTTCTCTGTGATGGACAGTAAGACTACCTAAAGCTTCAGAGAGGTTCTGTTCAACCATTCCATAGGGTTTCTTGGCAAGATTTGTTCAGAAGTCTTTGCCTTCTTCTGAGGCTGAGAGCATTGCTTGTCTAAGGTTACCTAGTTGGTTTCATGGCAGAGTAGGATTTGGACCCTGGCCTCCAGAGTCCAATCACCGGTCATGCACCTGGAAAATATCAAATAAAATATCTTTATTTGAAGAATTCCAAAGATGGAGAGTCTACCACCCTCTGAGGTAGTATCTTCCACTGTTAAACAGCTCTTACAGTAGAGGGGGAAAAAGCGGGGAGTGTCCTAATCTCTTTCTCTTCTTCGTTGCATTTAATTTCCACACCCCAGTTTACAAGCTTGCGTTTTTCCTCCTGCCCTTACTTTGTCATTCTAGCGGTTGCTTTCCTTTCATTCTTTCTACTTCTTCGCTTTCAAAAGTAGAGTTCACCAAGCAGGGCAAACTTGAGCCAAAACATTGGGAGCAATGGGATCAGGTGGAGAGCCAGGTGAATAAAGTAGAAGCAATTAATGTCAGATTGCTCTGCCAGTCGTTCTGAGTAAACAATCCACACATATCAGTTGCGACTAATGAAACCTAACCTGCTCAAAGCTGAACCATCTGTGGTTACCATGCAGCAGCAAAAGATGCGGAAGGATTTTCTTTTTTCTCCCCCTCCCTCCTCCCCTTGAGATTGTACAACCCTGAAAACTGGTGAGGAAATTGAAGTCCAGTTCAGTGGGGAAAGATGTATAGGAAGAGATGGTTTAGAAACAGCTGAAGATTTGCAGAAGTGTGAATTTAGAGCATTGAAAGTCAAGTGTGAGCTTGATCAGAAAATGCGTTTTGATGAACAGAGTAATTGGAAATGTAACATGACGTCTGAAAGGAGACAGATAAGGAGAATAAAGTAATGCATTTCTGTGTGGCTGTGCTGCCTCTGGGTCAAAATAGTGTTCAAGAAATTACCAAGTGTGCAGACGTTTTAGATAGCCATCATGGTTTGAGAATTGGACTATGACTCTGAAGACCAGGGTTTGAATCAGATGTGGAAACCCATGAGATGACCCTGGGCAAGTCACATTCTCAGTAGCCCAAAAACTCTGTGATAGGTTTGCCTTAGGTTTGCCATAAATTGGAAATGACTTGAAGGCACACAACACCAACAACTGATGTTTTAAAGTACATCTAAGGCTGGAACAGTCCGGATTATGACTATAAATGAGAGGCTATGGTTTTAGCCATCTTTAACCTCCTACCATCAGCCAAGTCAACACCCCACCGACCCCCAATAGCTGCCATTTGCATGTAGAGAAAAGACGCTTTGATCTTTGTAGAAATCTTCTCCATGAACAATAGTCAATGGAAGGTGGGATCCATACTGCAACTAGTCTCAATCCCTGGACTATGATTCAGATTTGGGAAAGGGAGGCACAGCTGCCGTTCTTTTAAAAATGTTAATTACATGAATGTTAATTACATGATCCTTAATTGCATTTTAAAAAAACTCATGTATTTGGGTCATTGGGGCCCATTTTTTCTTGCCCCACAGCATTGTTTTGAAGATAAAATGAAGGAAGGAGATATTATAACTCGCCCAATGTCTAGGGACAGAGTGTGATCATAATCATTTGAGCTTTCCGAAACAACCTATGATTAGGAGCATTTCCATAGACACTGTGTGGTGTACTGTGTTTAATACTTTGTGAACCAGATATTATTATTATTATTATTATTATTATTATTATTATTATTATTATTATTATTTAGTGTATGTGGCAAACAACAAGTAACAGCCAGCCCTCCCAAAGTCATATTACATTTCACCCAATTTCTACAAGTGTAGATATATTCTTCTTCTTGTTGTGTAGCTTCAAGTCATTTCCAACCCATGGCGACCCTACGGCAAGCCCATTATAGGTTTTCTTGGCAAGATTTGTTCAGAAGAGATTTGTATTACCTTCCTCAGAGGCTGAGAGACTTGCCCAAGGTTTCCCAGTAGGATCGTTGCAGAGTGTGAGTTCAGGTCCTGTTCTCCAGAGCCACTGCCCAATGCTCAAACCACCACACCATGCTGGCTCTTCAACATTTATTATTATTCTCTGTACTATATCCAAAGAAGTGGGTTTCCTTAAACAAAAGCTCATTCATAAAGAAGACTTAGTTAGACACTGTGGTGCTGCCACAATTCCCCCACCCCACCCATCATCCTTCTTGTTATTCTGGAAGTCATAGGCGGATAGTGAAAAGATATCAACAGTGGGGTAATATGATCAAAATGATGGGACAAAAAGATAACCTTAGCAGCAGACTATTGAATGGGAACCAAAGAACTAAGATGGGATATAAATGAATAAAATGAATAGACCGAAAGACAGATATTCTAAAGACCAAATCAAAGCTAAATTGCTGGGAGGTACAGTCATGGCTAAATGGAGAAGCTGCATGTCTTATTGAACATATTCAGTGGGTTCTGGGATCAGCTAAGGTTTGCTTCTGTAGAGACCAAAAACTCACGTTTCAGTATATACATTGGTGCAGTAAAATGGTGTCCCTTGCCACATATAAGTGGCAAAATCAAGCTGTGCTTTTTTGGATTTTGTTTTTTGAATATTTTCAAGTTGAAGATGGTTTTATCGGTTAATACAGAATATTTGGATACAGAGATCCAGTTGTTGTGCTCATAATGGCTGCTTTTTCTCCTTTTACTTTCAAGATGTATACATTCACTAATTTCCTTAAGATATATTTAGTAATATTGATTTAAGGAGCATTTCATAAAGATCATATTGTTTTTTTCAAGTGCAAATCGAATGGGAAGGAAAGGATTTTCCTATTTGAGGAATCAGAAGAAATAATGTTGTCCTTCCTTTTTTTGTCTTCTTCTCTTTCACAGGTTTATGAGAGGCTGCAAAAACATTCTGCTGCACATTATGACCCAAACCTACAACAGGACTTCACCAGTGACACCTTAAAATCACGGCACCAGCAAAAAAGCAACAGCCAGCATCATCTCGACTGGTCAAAGAGTTCCGAATCAGGACCAACTTCTCAAGCCTGTTTCATTGCCCCAGATTCAAACCGCGAAAGTGCGAGCTCCACCAAGGTCCCTGTCTCTGAAACTGCGGTCTCTTTCAACAAGTCCCAGTCTAAAAAATCAAACTCCAGCAACACATGGGGTCAGCTGTCAAGTAGTAATAACAAAGATCTTGCTTCATGTAGTGCAGCCCCAGGGTCAAACTCTCATGGTGTAATTTCTCAGCCCAACAATCTGGCTGATTGCAATGGATTTTCACCCCGAGTGAGTCAAGAGGGAGGTGTACAAATGGAAGCCCTTGATCAACCCACTGGCAACACCAAGAAGTCCAGCAAAAAAGACATTATCAACCAAACCCTCCCAAACACTGAAGTAGATTGGGTGAAAAATGCTCAGAAATCATTTGAGTCCAAAAGCCATGAGAGTGTGGATGGGAAAAAGGACTCCAGCACAGCCAAACCATCACCCCCCAGACACAGCCCAAACTCAGCTAACAGTTCTGAAAAGGATACAAGTCATGTACGCATCACTATCCCAATCAAGACTGCAGCTGTGGAACCACCTAGTCACAAAAGGAAGAAACGGCAATCGGGTAAAACTGCTGTGGACAAGAACATCTCAGAGAAAAGCCCACCTTCTGGACACCTTGTAAGCCATGATGTAATCAGTAGAACTAACACCCAAGCTGAGGTGTGCAAGAAAGATCTGCGGGTCACCAAGCAAGGGAAAGCTATTGAGAGTGAGTCTCCATTGGTGCGAATGGACAACAGTGAGGTGACCAGTAAACCACCCACAAGCAACACCACCAGGCTCAGAAAATCCACTGTAGTGACAGCTGCTTCCCTGTCAAATAATATCCTCACATCCAGCAAACAACCAGAGATTCAACACCCAAAGTTTGCAGCCAAACGGAGGTGGACTTGTAGCAAACCTAAAACTATGCTCCGGGAACCTTCTCTAGTCCCCTCTGAGAAACTGATGGTGGAACCTCCCTCGGCTTATCCCATCACACCATCTAGCCCTCTGTATACCAATACTGATAGTCTGACTGTGATTACTCCCATCAAGAAGAAGAGGGGGCGACCAAAGAAGCAGCCTTTGCTCACTGTTGAAACTATTCATGAGGGAACCTCCACCAGCCCAGTTAGTCCTATCAGCCGGGAATTTCCTGGCACGAAGAAAAGGAAAAGGCGACGGAGCTTGGTGAAGTTGGCTCAGATGGCTCCGGTAGAGGATAATTCCATCAGCGAGCTAAAATTCCAGAAAAAGGTGGGCAAGCTTGGTGTGTTGGATAAGAAAACCATCAAAACCATCAACAAAATGAAGACTCTCAAGAGGAAGAACCTTTTAAGCCAGATCTTATCCTGCTCTAGTAGCATAGCTTTGAAAACGAAAACCCAGCCCCCAGCCAATACAGGGACTCCAACCATTGATGCCAGGCTAGGGAAGCAAATAAATGTAAGCAAGAGAGGGACTATCTACATTGGCAAGAAAAGGGGACGGAAGCCGAGATCTGAGTTGCACCCCTTATTGGAAGAACCGAAGACAGCCATCAAACATTTGAGGCCTGTATCCAGCCAGCCAGAAAATCCAGCAGTGCCTTCCACCTTGCAGTCACTTGTGGCATCATCACCAGCAACTATTCATCCACTTTCAGCACAGCTAGTGGGGTCTAATGGCAACCTCAGCCCTGCCAGCACTGAAATGAATTTTTCAGAGTTAAAGACTATGCCAAACCTACAGCCTGTCAGTGCTCTTCCTACAAAAACCCAGAAAGGGATACATGGTGGGACCTGGAAGTTGTCCCCACCTAGGCTTATGGCGAACTCTCCTTCTCATCTTTGTGATATTGGTTCCTTGAAAGAAGTCACACTGTCTCCAGTGAGTGAATCCCATAGTGAGGAAACCATACCCAGTGACAGTGGGATCGGAACTGACAACAACAGTACTTCTGACCAAGCGGAGAAGAATTCGGAATCACGAAGGAGATACTCCTTTGATTTTTGCAGCCTGGACAATCCAGAGGCTATTCAGTCTGACACCAGCACGAAGAACAGGCATAGCCACCGGCAGAAGCATCTAATTGTCGATAACTTTCTCTCTCATGAGACTATGAAAAAACCAAAGCACAAGAGGAAGCGGAAAAACCTGCAAAATAGAGATGACCTCCAGTTCCTGGCAGACCTGGAAGAGCTCATCAGCAAGTTCCAAGTGTTCAGGATTTCTCACAGGAGCTACACGTTCTACCATGAAAATCCATATCCCAGCATTTTTAGGATAAACTTTGATCATTATTACCCTGTGCCATATATTCAGTATGACCCATTGCTGTATCTTCGCAGGACCTCTGACATGAAGTCTAAGAAGAAGCGTGGTAGACCTGCCAAAACCAATGACACCATGACAAAGGTGCCTTTCTTACAAGGGTTTGGTTACCCTATTCCCAGCGGGAGTTACTATGCACCCTATGGAATGCCTTACACGTCAATGCCTATGATGAATCTTGGTTATTACAGTCAGTACCCAGCTCCTTTGTACTTATCCCACACGCTTGGAGCAGCATCCCCATTTATGAGGCCAACTGTGCCCCCTCCCCAGTTTCATGCAAGCTCTCACATGAAGATGCCCAATACTGCCAAGCATAAAGTTAAGCATGGTGTTCATTTGCAGACACCTGTTGGGATGGGTCTTGGAGAGGTGCATTCCTCACTGACGTCTCCAAAGGTTGCAGGGACAAGCATACCCAGTGGACGACTTCACAAAAGGAAACACAAACATAAGCACAAACACAAAGATGAGAGGATATTGGGGGCTCATGATGACCTGAGCAGTCTCTTTGCTAGCAAATCCACCACCAGCTTCTCCAGCCATTCAGTAAGCGAAAGATTAAATGTCTCAGACAAAGACCTCTCTTTGTTGACTGAGAAGAGCAAGTATAAAGAGAAGCAGAAACACCAGCATTGTGAAACTGGGCACAAAGGTTCCAAGAGCAGCTTTGAAGTGGATAACTTGTCGTCACTTTCACTCTCCGACACCCAGCAGTGGGTGCAGAGCAAGGATAAAACTGACTCGAGCAATGATCTCACTGACTCCTGCTTGAAGAGGTACTCCGGGAATATTGAAAGCAGTGCAAGGTCTGAGTCCCTGGATGTGTTTGGTGAGATAAATTCCTTGAGTGACAAGCGGGACAATGACGGGAGTGGAAGCAAACGGAGGAGCTTTGAAGGCTTTGGGACATACAGGGAGAAGGACCTGCAGACCTTCAGAGCAAGTAGGAAGGACAGGAGTTCCTATGATTCCTCTACTTCAACAGGTAAGAGTCTGAAAAGATGTACCTGTTTCAATTGAGTTTGCCCACTGTGGACATTTTATTGATTGTTATTCAGCTGCTGCATTTGTAGACTATTGTCCTGTCAATATGCTGATTTACTGTATAAAATACGGTAGTTCACACTCTAAGAAATACAGTTTGCTCACAGTTTAACATATAGAGCATATAAAAAGAAAGTGATGAGGGGTGCATGTACCGTCAAATCTTCTGTCAACATATGCGGTCTCCATGAGGGTTTTCCTAGGCAAGGAATTTCCAAAGGTGGTTTCTCAGACCCTTCTTCTGAAATTTGGCCTACAGTACTGCTGTTCATTGGCTGTCTCCAACCTGAGCCTCTCACTAGGGCTGACCTTGCTCAGCTTTTAAGATCAGAGACGATCTTGTTCCTTTAGGCCTTTTGGGCAGGATAAAGTGATGGGAAACCCACCCACTGCTCAAACGACTACAACAGGGGCACTCAAACTTTTTAAACAGAGGGCCAGGTCACAGTCCCTTGAACTGTTGGAAGGCCAGATTATAATTTGAAAAAAGCATAAATAAATTCCTGTGCACACTGCACATATCTTATTTGTAGTGCAAAAAAACCTTTAAAAACAATACAATAATTAAAAGGAAGAACAATTTTAACAAATATAAACTTATTAGTATTTCAATGGGAGGAATGGTCCTGATTTTGGCTGATGAGATAGGATTGTTTTTGTTGTGTGCCTTCAAGTCGTTTCAGACTTAGATTGACCCTGAGCAAGGGCTGGTAAATGACCTTGAAGGACCGTAGCCAGCCCTCGGGCCTTCTTTTGAGGACCCCTGCACTACACCATACTAACTCTGTGCACACTTGTAAGGTGGTTTTAGTAGGTATCTCAATTTAACATTTTTGAGATTGAACTTTCCAGTATCAGTTCTGCTGTTTCCTATGTGAAGGAACTGTTATCTTTGTTGGCTTATTTTCCTTGCAAAAATGAATAGTTTGGCTTGTGGTCATGTAATGAGATTACATAATGACCATATGGAATTGTGCCTGTAGAACAAAAAGCTGGGATAGGAGAATGGAATGGCAGCTGGTATTGCCTAAAGATACAGAGAGGCCAAGTGTCTGGACTGCTGCTAATTCATTTTTTATATATGGGAAAGTCCTCTTAAGTGGCCAGGACTGTGAGCTCACTCCATTTCAGTTTCCTAGTGGAATTAAGTGATTCAAATGCAGGCAAGCCTCTCTAGGATTTTTCTAGGTCCTCCAATGGTAACATCCAGCTCAAGTTGTTCATTTCAATAGGTTTCATTATTATCCAGGATTTCTTGTTTTTTCAGGAACTTATCCCCATGGATACAGGGGGTTGTACTGTAATTTGAGCTCAATGATAGGAACAATAGAATTAAAATCAATTAAGTTATAAATTAAGTTGGCAATTTGCTAACAGAGAGGCAATTTAATTAAATTTATATTTGAATGAAAGTGATTGACTTAGTTAGAATTTCATTAGTTATGTTTCCCCAGCATTGATTTATGAAATTATTAGTTATTTTACTCACCGTTTTGCATTAATGGGAAATTATAAGAATTGGGTCACAAGGGATAAGGCCAACTTGAAAGGGAAGGTGGTCTTCTTGGCACCCAAGTGGCCTTTTGTGTTCTCTACCAGACAGTGCAAAGAGACTTTGCATACCTGGAAGCTGGATTTTGAATTCTGACACTTTCAAAATCAGAAAAAAAGTTTGAAGGATAAGAAAATGTCAAAGAAGGGGGAATTAAGAGATTAATTTTGGATGGTATTTTCTTCTATGTGTCAATACAAAGATTTTTCATTTTTATTCTGATAATGTTTTTTTTTATTTTGTAGCGTAAAGTAACTTGATCTAGATGAAGTTAACATCATTATTTTAAAAAAAGGACTGCTTTCTACCTAAATTCAATTGAATTGGGTTTTACTTAATAGTTAAGTTTGCATAGATGTTAACTCTTTCTTGCTGATGTTCTCATCTCTGCATGAGCCAAATGCAGTCACACGGAGAAGTAATTGTGACAAGGTTTCTCTATTTCCTGCCCAAACCTTTCAATATGTGAAGGCATTTGAATCTGTTCACTGCCAAGTGGCTCCCAGAAGTCTTGCGGTGTCAAAGTGAAATGCCAGACCACATTGAAAAAACATCACTTGCCTTGCAATCCTAAAATCTCTTACAGGTAATTTCTAATCCTTGCATTGAGGGACCTTGGCTAAGAGGAAATGTGTTTAGTCTTAAGATTAAGAAACTGTAGAGTGCCCTCCAGGCACTGGGTGCAATTTAGCTTATACAGCTGCTGAAGTTGTTCCTTTTATTTCAACTGTGTGGGTGTTTCCTGAATAAGTGGCAGGCAAGCACAGTAGCCTTCAAGTGACTTATCCCAGCATCATCTGGTTCTTTCAAAGTTAAAAGGAATAGTGTGAAAGAAATGCATCTTTCTTTGTTTGGATATTCAAATTACAAGCTGAGCATCCTTATCCGGAATCCAAACAGTCTCCAAAATTGTCCATCTAAGAAAGTGACACTTTTGCTTTTAGATGGTTCAACATATGTGTTCTGCCCCCACACTTTGCTATTTATTTGGAAGGTGTCTGTAGTGCAGAGAGCAGATTGAATGCTACTGTGCAGGTACAACTGTACCAGGAGCTCCAGTTGTGTTGGCTTTGCATTGAATGTTTGTTGTAGTCCTAAGTTTCAGGGACTCTGCAGATAGGTGGCTTCTTTTGGCTGCAATCATAGGGCAAGCCACCTGTCAATTATCATTAGGTTCCCTGGTCCCGCCCCCTTTTGGGTTCTGGAGGGAATAGGAGCCTGTTTGGGTTCAGTCCACACAGAGAAGCCTTTCACGCAGGACATAATACCAAGAGCTCCTGTAGAAATCTTTGTCTTCTATGGCTTGGCCGGGGAGATATACAGCCCACAGCTTGGCCGGGGTTATGCAGCCCTACAGTTCCTTTGCTGAAGGATTTCAGTCAGCCATCACGGAAACCTGAGTTCTTTTTCCCCTGGAAGTCTAAAAAGCTCTGCTTGGTAAGGGTCACTCGCGGGAGCCAGAAGCAGTTGGTACCGGGTGCAGGGGCTCCACGCCAACAGAGGCAAAGACAGACTGCCTAGATTAAAAGTTAAGGATTTCCCCATTAGTTACAGTTATGAAGACAGTGCCTGTTCTCTGTGGAAAAGATTTAGAGAGAGCCAATAGACGGTTAAGAAAGCCTTAAAGTACCAGTTTGTTTTCATTAATAAAGAACTTTGTTGAACCTTTAAGCAATCTAAAGACTCTGTTTTAAGGAAATCCAAGGGCCTTTAATCTGAGGCAGCCCCGGCGTCCCGTTGGGCACACAGAATTTATGTCCTGTCTACAGTTTTATGCACAGGCCCAGCATGCGACAGCACAGCTACACATTTGAAGTAAAAACAAGAATTTAGTAAATAACAGATAACAAATTTCCTCTCCTCTTAACTTTACTGCCAGTCTTTGTGAAGAGAGTTAAAGTCCTTAAAACATAACCACAGTTCTGACTGAATGTTGCTTTGATATGACTTCAATTGGATCTCAATCTGTTCTATCTCTGATGTGGCTTTACTTTGTCTCTTTACATTTATATAGCTTTGATGTGACTTGTATGACTTTGATGTGACCTTGTATTGCTTCGACCTGACTAGATGTAACTTGTGTAGCTTCAACGTGACGTTCTGTTTTTTGGATCTTCCAACCTTCCAATTACCACACTGGCTGACTCCTCAAGGAACTAGGAGGACCTTGACTGAGGTTCTTCCCCTAAGAGGAGTGTTAAAAGAACAGGGGAAGGGAGGAAAATCTCCTATACATACCGGGCCCTAGGAAGGTACACCTGGAAGCTACAAGGCATAGAGCTTTTTCGATCTATGCTCCAATTCTGTGGAACTCATTGCCTCCATACATTAGAGCAATGTCGGAGTTGCGACCTTTTGTAAAGACACTCAAGACTTGGCTGTTTGGTTGTGCATTTAAGTAATCAGATCTAATTTGCCAAATAGTCACTGTTGAATGTTTTTATGTTGAATGTTTTTATATTGTGTAGATTGTAAGTCGCTCGGAGCACCTTGGTGGAGAGCGACTAATTAAGAAATAAAGTGAAGTGAAGGTTTCAAATACAAGGAAAAAGAGGTTATCTAGACTAACCCCACAACTATATATAAAATACTAATCACTTCTAACTAAATAGAGGCTTTACAGGAATAAACAGGAAGAAATATTGCAGAGGCATGACAATATGCAAACTTTCTTTTATGGACACAATACTGTACAAAATTAAAATACTGTACAAAATTACCTTCAGAGTATATCTATAAAGCAAATGTTGTTTAGACTCGTCTTCCATTTCTAAGATATCTCACTTCAGATATGCAAATAATCCAGAATTTTTTTAAAAAATCCAAAACATTTCTGGTCCACACCATTATGAATAAGGGATACTCAACATGTACTTTTGTATGCAGAGTAAACTCAAGATGAGCAATTTTAAACAACTAAATCAGACTATTTTTAAAGAAACAGAAACATTATCTGTAAGAAATATGTGCTGAAGGACAATTGCATGAAAAATAAGAGAGAGGGGCTGTCATCAAAACTGAAAGGTATTGATACTCATAATTCCTGGTTGTAATAGTACAACTGGCGTGTATGTGGCTTAGCATTGGTTGAGCATTAGACAACATCCCATGCAACTCTGTCCTATATAGTAATGGAATGCACACATCTCTTTTTAAAAAAGATTTAGAGGGCATGTGATGTAGTGGATTTAAGCATTGGACTAGGGTCACATCTACCCTGCATTATATGGTCAGCGTAGAATCATATAATGCAGTTCAACTGCATTATATGGTGGTTCTCAACCTGTGGGTTCCCAGGTGTCTCGGTCAACCAGCTCCTTTCCACCGGCGCTTCATTCAGGACGAGTCCTTTCTGCAAAGCCAGGGAGAAAAGGGTACCCAGTGCTGTG